AACGTCCGCATTACCAAGAAAAAAAAACATATTTGTAACGTCATTATAAAATTAAAAAGTAACATTCCAATATTTTTTTTGAAGAAAAAAACAAGAATTTTTTTTTTTAATTCAACAAAACAAAAAAACGGGGCATTTAGAATTTTAGAAATAATGTTTTCATAACTTAATAGGAGCGTTCCCATAATGTTTGAAGAATGATACAGTGGAATCTCCCCTTAAAGGTGCTCAACGTAACTCTTAGCGGCCTCTAGTGGTGATGTTTCAGATTGCAACCAAATTTTACAAGAGCGCTCGTGCTCGAACTCATAGACAATACCGTCTATTACGCAAATATCTCGGCGAATACTAGACGGATTCGGCGAGCACCGAGCTCGTTGGGACCATCTAGTCGAGCTGAAAAGAACCATATAAGTTCCATAGTTTTTGGTGGTGTTTTCGCGGAGATATTAGCAGAAAACCATCGGGCGCGCTGCAAAATTGCGGACGCCGGTGACGTCACGATCTCAGAAGAAAATCGCTCGTATCTCTGGAACGCAAAGACCCAGAGAGCTCAAATTTGGGGGAGGAGGTCCCAGGGGAACCCTTGCCCGAACGCTAGAGTGGCGGGCCTCGGGGATGCCCCCTACCGGACCGCCGTTCGCTGGGACCCCCGATTTCGAACGGCTATAACTCGGGGAGCCGGGCGAGTTGGACCTCGGGGGTGGGCTCGTTCGAAAGGCCCCGTCCAGCACTACGAACGATTAGAGTCTTGGGAATATTGATCAAAGATTGACTGAGATATAAGCCGAAAAACGTGCGCCTTTAACCGGACGTAACTCCCTGACCGTCTACAATAGACTGTGTCGGTACACGATCCGTTCTACGCATGCGTAGTAGACGCAGGAGAAAAAGCACATGCGCAAATGATAATTCTGTTTTGCGACACTGATTTTGATTTACGACGCTGCACGATCTGTTCCACGCATGCGCATATTTTGTGTGTGCGTGTGAGAGAGAGAGTGTGAGAGTGAGTGTGTGTGTGTGAGAGAGAGAGAGAGAGAGAGAGAGAGAGAGAGAGAGTGTGTGTGTGTGTGTGTGTGTATGAGAGAAAGAGAGAGAGTGTGTGTGTGTGTGTGTGAGAGAGAGAGAGAGAGAGAGAGAGAGAGAGAGAGAGAGAGAGAGAGAGAGAGAGAGAGAGAGAGAGTGTGTGTGTGTGTGTGTGTGTGTGTGTGTGTGAGAGAGCGAGAGAGAGTGTGTGTGTGTGTGTGTGTGTGTGTGTGAGTTTTTACTCCTAAATAAAGATACTCAGTGTACTTCACTACTGTCCACCGCTGGTCTCATGTCACTTCTGTGTGCACACATGCTTCTTTCAAGTAATTTCCATTGTCAGTTTGAAATACTCTATTATAACGTTTCCCCAAACTTGTTTGTAGTTCTTTCTACATGTAAGTGCAGATAGTCTAGGCAGAAATGCATATTATGTCCCTTATTGTCTTCTGTAAACAAAATTGAAGGGATTATTTTCCTCATTTAAATTGTATAGATATATATTAGCTTATATAGACGACCCATACTAATACAAAATTACTTTAACTTAAAAGTTAACTAATATTAGCAGCTTTTAATAATAAAAAAAACGACACAAACCGTCTTTGACAATCCTACCTCAGACCAAAACACGGCAAGTTCAGTAAGTTAAGCCTAATACCATACAGCAAAGGAGAGTATGGATGAAACAGATCATGTATGTTCATGTAACAACTCACAACTCTCACAACCCAATTTTGGATTGGCAACCTCGTAAACACATCGTAATGCATAGCGTAAGCTACATTTAAAAGCATAAAAACAGACCCGCTGTGAAATGTTTAACACAATACAACTAACGTTACACAAATATGCCTCAAGTTGTGCCGCCTGGCCGTCAAGTGTTTCATCGCATGCGTGGTACCGATAGTGTAGGAATGCCGTGACGTTTTCTACTACGTAATTAGTGGATCACGTAGTGGATCATTTTAATGTGTGATAAAAAAAAAAAAAAAACTGCACTAAAATCAAACTGACTGAGAGGGGTTATAGCACTTACGTATTGTTGTCCTTCTGTTAGTTTAACGGCTTCTATTGTTCTCATTTGTAAGTCGCTTTGGATAAAAGCGTCTGCTAAATGAATAAATGTAAATGTAAAATGTGATTACAACCCCTTCACACACAGGCAATAAAAAAAGGTTTAATTTTAGTAGAAAAGTTACATAGAGCACCTTTAAGTTATGAAAACATTATTTCTAAAATTCTAAACGCCCCATTTTGTTGATTTAAAAAAAAAATCTTGGTTTTCTTGTGTTTTTCTTCCAAAAAATATTGGAACATTAATTTTATAATAATGTTACAAATGTTTTTTCTTGGTAATGCGGACGTTAAGGGAACATTGTGTCATCCTTCAAACATTATGGAACGTTACTTCTGAACGTTCCGAAACAAGTAGCAACATTTAAAAAACTTTAGACGAACGTCCAACTAA